CTAGCAAAGTTGACCCAGACAACAAAGTAAAGCTAGTTTTCAGCTACGAGCCCGCACAGAACCCACCGTATTAGCCAGAGGTCCCTTTACTACGGTTCGGAGCCGCGGACCTGTTTTATATACGCGCGGAATAGTTTCTATACGAGATGACTGCTAAAAGTGCAGTCCCACACCGGTTGCCCCGCAAATGAGACATACACACTTTTCTTTAACTGTTAGATTAAAGATTTTTGTTTTCCATGTTTTTCTGAAAGAGTGAAAGCCACATCCAGCTCCTCATTGGAGCTACGCCCGCTGTCTCATCTCAGCAAAGAGCAAGACGGCAATTTGTCTTGATATTGAACCTCAGACCTCAGACAAGGTCCGAGATCATATATAGATACCGTTCTGTCTTAAATATGTTCATATGCTAATGAGACAAATAAGTGGAAATTGTATTTCTATTGTTATACATCAGAAAATTGTGAAGCTTTTATTTTGACATGTGCATAGACAGGAACAGTGGGTCAGGATTCCAGCATCACCTGACTGTCGGCCCAGGAACTGTGAGAGAGTAGCGGTGGGGAGGTGCGAGAAATCTGAAAGTGGACATCCCATGCGGTTTGAGTGAATTGTTTGGTTTTTGGACTTTGGACTACGGATTTGGATCACGGAGTTTGGCAGTTGGCATAAACTGGTATGTGACTGGCTGGAATGGTGTCTCTGGTAGATGAGGACGATGAAATGGATTTTGGTGAATGGACCCTGGTTGCTGGCGGGGGGAGATCAGGAAGAGGGAGAAGCAGGGGAGAGGAGGCAAGTTTGGTTGGGTTGCAGACCAGTAAACGGAGTTTGGAAGAGAACAGCTCAGATGAAGGGTCCAGGGTCATGAGGAAGAAGATGGTGAGGGAGGAATTTAAGATAATTTTGAAATTCAGGAAGGAGGATGAGGAAGTGCAATTGAGCCCAATAGCGGTGTCTAGAGAATTGGAAAATTTTAGCTAAGGTTCTAAGGGATGGGAATTATTGGTAGTGGTCAAGTCAGAAGAACAGAAAAACAAGGTGTTGAGTGCTGAAAGTATCTGCAAAAGGACAGTACAAGCGAGAAGGACATTGTGAGACAGTAAATGGGTGATTACAGGTATCCCGGTAGGATTTAGAGAAAATAAAGTGGTGTATTTAGGGAGGAGAGGTCAGCAGAGTAAAGAGACTGGGGAAATGGGGAAAGGGTT